GCTGCAGCTGTGTCTCAATTATACTAAAGTGTCAGAGGCTTTTTAAAAATATTTTATTGATTTTTTTTATTTATTTATTTATTTTTTTTTTTTTTTGCAGAGAAGAAGAGAGAGGGATAGAGAGTTAGAAACATCATGAGAGAGAATCATCAATCAACTGCCTCTTGCACACCCACTACTGGGGATATGCCCGCAACCAGGGTACATGCCCTTGACCGGAAGCGAACCTGGGACCTTTCAGTCCACAAGCCGACCGGTTTCAGCCATAGGCTACACTTACTATTACTGTTATCAGCCTATCCGTTTTCTTCCTTTCCACGCCTTTTTATAACGACAAAGGATAAAATGCCATAATGCTCACACCACTGCACAAACAAGCCACATCTGGCCAGGCCAAGATGGCCCCAAATTTCAAACAGAATTATTGGCTGGTAGGCAGCGCCCCCTTGTGATCACTCGGTATGTTTGCTTTTCGTGTTTGTTACAATGCTATTCTGTTTTGTCCTTCCAGATCAGCTCTCACCCTCCTCCCCCCAAGTCTGTGCCTGAGGCTGGCAGCCTGATCTGCTGCTTCCTTGCCAGCCTTGTGTTCTGATCGGGAGGATAGGAGGGTGGGAGGATGGGAGGGTGGGAGGCTGAATCTAATGACTCAATTTTAGAGTTCAGAAGGTGAAACAATGTAACTTCCCAGGCCAGGGCATAAAAAGATGCTACTTTTGCCCTAGCGGTTTGCTAAGTGGCTAGAGTGCCAGCCTGTGGACTGAAGGGTCAGGGTTCCATCCCAGTGAAGGGCTCATACCTGTGCCGGGGTTGTGGGCTCGATCCCAAATAGGGAACGTGCAGGAGGCAGCCAATCAATGATTCTCTCTCATCATTGATGTTTCTCTCTCTCCCTCTCCCTTCCTCTCTGAAATCAATAAAAATATATTTTAAGAAAGAAAAGAAAAATTTTAAAAGATACAACTTTTAACTGGTTTTCCTTCTCTTGGATCACTTGCTCTGGGGAGGCCCACTGCCAAGGTGGGAGTATACCCAAGCATCTCAAGAAGGGAGAAATTGCCCTAGCCAGCTTGGCTCAGTGGATAGAGTGTCGGCCTGCGGACTGAAGGGTCGCAGGTTTGATTCCAGTCAAGGGCATATGCCTGGGTTATTGGCTTGATCCCCAGAAGGGGGTGTGCAGGAGGCAGGTGATGAATGATTCTCTCTCATCATTGATGTTTCTAACTCTCCCTCTCCCTTCCTCTCAGAGTATATCTTTTAAAAGAAGGAGGAGGAGGAGGAGGAGGAGGAGGAGGAGGGAGGGGGGGAGGAGGGGGAAATTAAGGCATTCATTCCACCAACAATCAGCAAATCAGCATTCACCTGCCAACCATGTGATGGGCCACCTAGGAGCCCACAACCTTCGGTGGACTGCAGCCCCCACAGACACCTGAATTGCAGCCCTGTGAGAGACCTTGAGCCAGAAAAAGCTCAACAAAGATGCTCCTAGATTCCTACCCCATGAAAACTGTAGGGGGGATATGTTTTGCAGCAATAAAGACTACAGCCTGCAACCGCTAATAATAGCCCCATGCTCCCACCCCAGGGCCTTTGCACTTGCTGTGAGTTCTGTCTGGAAATGTCCTCCCCTCTCCCCCCTTCCTTCAGGTCTTCCCTCAGATGGCATGTCCCACCGCCTTCCCAGACCCCCTTTCTCCATCTCCCTGCCTCTGTTTGTCCTTCCAGATCAGATCTGGCCCTCCTCCCCACAAGTCTGCCTGAGGCTGACAGCCTGAGCTGCTCCCTTGGCGGCCTTGTGTTCCGATGCAGGAGGTGCTGCATGTTTCACCCTAGCACTTATCTCCTGTCCTGTTGTGTATTTGTTTCTTGTCGCTCTCTGCTAGAATGCCAGCTCTTTCTTTTGTTCCATGCTCTGCCCACAGTACCTGAGGCAGTGCCTGGCATAGAGTAAGCACTCAATATGGTCAGTGGCCATTATTATGAGAATCTAACATTCCTGATTCTTGTCATAGTTAGATCAGTCTCCCACCTGTTTCCTGCCCACTAGGTGTCCACCCTAACCAGGGGACGGGATGTAGCCGCGACCTCCCCCTCCATTGGGTAAGTAGTAATTGGCAACTATAACGGGAAAGCCCCTCCGTGTCTCCCCACTTCCCTCTGGTTAAAAACTCCAGGTCCTCCGTACAACCTACGGGGCTCCATCCCTGCCTAAAATCCCACCGTCAGCCACAAAGAACCATGAACTATTTGTCTCCACACCCACAAGGCTCTGGGGATCAAGCAGAAAGCATTAGTGTAGCTATTTTTTTAAATATATTTTTATTGCCCTGAGCAGTTTGGCTCACTGGATAGAGCATCAGCCTGCAGACTAAAGGGTCCTGGGTTCGATTCCAGTCAAGGGCATGTACCTTGGTTGTGGGCACATCCCCAGTAGGGGGTGTGCAGGAGGCAGCTGGCCAATGTTTCTCTCTCATCGATGTTTCCAGCTCTCTATCCCTCTCCCTTCTTCTCTGTAAAAAAGCAATAAAATATATTTTTTAAAAATATATATACTTTTTTATTGATTTCACAGATGAAGAGAGAGATAGAAACATCAATGATGAGATTCATAGATTGGACTGACTCCTGCACGCCCCACACTGGGGACGGAGCCCACAACCTAGGCATATGCCCTTGACTGGAATTGAACCCAAGACCCTTCAGTCCACAGGCGAACACTATCCACTGAGTCAAACCAGCTAGGGCAGAGTAGCTTTTTTTTTTAATCTCATTTTTTTTGTTTGCTAAAGAATGTCTTTATGTATATAATAAACATAATATTATAGAATATAATCTACAGAAGTTATTGGTATAACTGTACTTGTATATTATTTATAAGGAAATACCCACCTGGAAGTGAAGCTTCAACACTTTTTACTGATAGGGGTGCACAATTGGGAAAAACATTTAGAATCATTTATCCTAATGCAATTATCTTCCGTCCTCCTGCCCTCTCCCTGTCCCCCTTCTCCCCCCCGCCCCCCCCTGCCCCAATCTGGCATTGTCTGGAGACATTTTTAGTTGTCAACCCCTGGGGGAGGGGTGCCCCTGACATCTAAGGATGAAGGCCAGGGATGCTGGTCAACATGCTTCAGGGCACAGAACAGGCTCCAGCACAGATAACTCTCCAGCCCGAAATGTCACTGGTGATGCTGCAGAAGACCAAAGAAAACCAAGGACGCTTCTGAGAGAGAGAGAGAGAGAGAGAGAGAGAGAGAGAGAGAGAGAGAGAGAGAGAGAGAGAGAGAAAGGGGGCACTGTTAAATATGCCGGACTCAGGAAACAGCCTTCCAAATCTGAGTGAAGGAACAAGCATGGGGCCCTCCCTTATGGCTCCCTGTGGTCCTTGGGGGAGATATAAGGGATTATGCTTCCGGTCTTCTTCGCGGGCCTTGCAAGAAGGCCCCCCCCCGGTGATGGGGGTCTCCAGGCCCTATCTGATGGCCTGGCCTGGCGTCAGCGTGAATAGCCCTCCCCTCCCTCTGGGCAGTGCCTGTCCACAGCCCCATGGCCTCTGTAACTGGTTCTGCAAGACCGGTCCCTGGCAGAGGTAGTGACTTAATTATAGGTTATCAGGAATGTATCTGGGATACATTGAATGTGCACTGAGCTTGCTGGCTTGGATTCAGGTCACTGGCCCCAAATATCAGGGTTGCATTGGAATTGGCCCTTTTAGCCTCCTCGGAGAGGAGGTTGAGAAGCCCTGGCCTAAAGCACCACCAGACCCTCTCTCTCTTGTTTCCGGTGGCTTTGCACCAGCTGCTTCCTCTTCCCCACTCTATGCCTCATCTAAGCTAAAACCTCAACCCTCACGCCGGCCCCTCCTCCAGGAAGCCATCCCCCGCCACCTGGAAGCGAGGCCAGAGTCTGTCCTAAGGGCCCCTCCAGCCCCCAGTGCTGAGTGGGTTAGAATCAGCTTGGACCCAGGGGGCCTCCACCTTCAGATTTACAATGCATATCCCGGGGCCCTGCCCGCCGGATGCTGCCGCCGGCTGGGGCCAGGTGCTTTCCACAAGCACCTCCCCTACAGCCCAGGGCCTGGGCCTCTGGGCCCGCAGCGGAGAGAGCCCAGGGGCTAGTGCACCTACTGGTTTGCATCCCAGGGCTCTCTACCCGGAGTCTCAAATCCTGGCAAACACACACACACACGTAGGATGTAGTAGTCATTCTTTTTTTTTTTTTTTTTAATACATTTTATTGATTTTTTTTTTTTTACAGAGAGGAAGAGAGAGGGATAGAGAGCTAGAAATGTTGATGAGAGAGAATCATCAATCAGCTGCCTCTTGCACAACCCCCACTAGGGATGTGCCCGCAACCAAGGCACATGCCCTTGCCCAGAATAGAACCTGGGACCTTTCAGTCCGCAGGCCTACGCTCTAGCCACTGAGCCAAACCGGTTTCGGCTGCAGTCGTCATCATTATGATCATCCCCATTTCACAGAGGGGCACACTGAGGTGTGGAGGGAACCTGGCCAGAGACTCGAGAAAGACGTGTGGGTCCAGGTCCTCATTAACGCCTGATTGATGGGGGGGAACTGAGGGACCCTGAGCTCCAGGGGGGGGGGGCGCGCCCACCCGCCGCGGCCGTGGGGCCCGGCCCCGCCCCACGGGGGACGTGAGACGCGGGCCCCGCGCAGCGCGGGGCCATGTGACCGGCCGCCGAGGCCGCGCCGCCTCCCAGCCCGGAGCCCCCGGCCCGCGCACCCCGCCGCGCAGGGCGCAGACCCAGCCGCCGCGGGGTGTGGGGCGCAGGAGCAGAGGCGGGGCCGGGGCGGGGCCGGCGCTTCATCCTCCCCCCCGCTCCCCCGCATCGAAAGCGAAAGGCGGGGAGGGCGGGGCCTCCCGGAGCCCCGCCCCCTGCCCTGCGCGCCCTGCACCGGGCTGGTCCCCGCGGGGGGCGCGGAGCGAGCGCGCAGTGCGGACCCGCGGCACCGGGCACCGGCCCCGGCGCGGCCGCCACCATGTCCCAGGAAGGCGTAGAGGTAGGGGATGACGGCGGCTGGGCCGGGGCCCGCGCAGGATGCCGAGGAGGGGGGACCGTGGCCGCCGCGGAGGGCGCTTCGCACGTCCCGGGGGGCGGGAGGGCTCCATCCGGAACCCCAGACCTTTCCCCGCAGGCCGGCGCGCGTCCCCACTCCCCACCCGCGTCAGGAAGGAGAGGGACGTCTCCCTCTCCCCCCCAGAGCGGCATGAGGCCTCCTCGACGGAAAGCGGGGCCCGCAGGGTCAAGGGTCAAAGGCCAGGGGGCACCTGGCTGGCCTCCCTCTGGAGCCTGGGAAGCTTGCCCCAGTGCGCACCACCCTCCCCCAGTGTCCAGGGGGGACTTTGGCTTTTTCCAGGAAATGCCATGGAGGATGGAGATGGGAGGTGCGGAGGCCAAAACTAAGGGTCAAGTTCAGGCCGGGAGAAGGGTGCCTGGTAGTGGGGGGGAAGGGCAGTGGTTCTCCTCCTCGTCCCATGGGCGCCCCCCCTGTCCCCACCCCAGCTGGAGAAGAGCGTCCGGCGCCTCCGGGAGAAGTTTCACGGGAAGGTCTCCTCCAGGAAGGCGGGGACTCTGATGAGGAAATTTGGCAGCGACCACACTGGAGTGGGCCGCTCCATCGTGTACGGTGAGCGGGCGGGCGGGCGGGCCGGGGTTCCCCCTCCCCCGCCTGGTGGGGATTCCCCACGGGGGTAGGGGTTGCATGGTCTGAGGAAGGTGGAAAGAGGCCCTGAGATCCTCCCTTGGGGAAGGTCTGGGGACCTCAAACTCCCAGGAGATCTTTCAAGGGTCCTCCACTCACACGTCCTCTCCCCACCAGGAGTAAAGCAGAAAGATGGACAGGAACTGAGTCAGGACCTGGAGGCCCAGGTAAACTGCCTCCCTCTCCTGGAAGGACAGGGTAACCGGGGAGGGAGAACAGGGGGAGCCCCGAGCTCCTCAGTGCACTGCCACGTCACAGCTCATGGTCCAACCACATTCACTCCCCAGTTGCAGGGAGCGTGCAAACGGAAGATGTTCATTACACGCCAATGGTGTTACGTGGGGGGTGGGGGGAAGACAGGAAACTAGGCAGTGACGGAGCCAGGATTAAGTTAGTGTCATCATAGAGGGCCTAGGGCCAGGGGGAGCTTCCTGGAGGGGGCGGGGGAGAGGAAGTATTGCCACCTCTTTAAGGCTGGAGACTAGTGATCCCTGGAAATGGAATCCCTGGAAATGGAGTCTTCCTGGAAGAGGGACTGGCTGAGCGAAGGATGAGCAGCAGATGGCGCAAGAGAGGGGCAGAGGGGCTCACGTGTTGAGTGAATGAATGAATGAGTGAGTGAATGAATGAAAGGCTTTGAGGCACAGGGACATCATGGCCACTTTGCCCTGTGGATGGCTTTGGTAGCTGTGGATTTTGCCTGCCTGAAAGGCCCAGCTTAGAGTTGTTAAAGAGTATAATAAAACATGTATTATATTCTTGCATCTATACCTATAAAGAGTTATGATAAAAAAAAAAAATAATAGCAATGAGCCTGGCTGGTGTGGCTCAGTTGACTGAGTGTTGCCCTGTGCACTAAGAGGTCTCCAGTTCAATTCCTAGTCAGGGCACATACCCAGGTTCCATCCCCAGTCGGGGTGCGTACAGGAGGCACCTGATTGATATTTCTCTCTCACATCAATGTTTCCCTCCCTCTCCCTCTCTCTAAAGTCAATAAATACCTACTTTTAAATAATAATAGCAAAGAGTAGCATTGATTGAGCACATCCCTTGCAGCAGGACTCCAGGAATTTTACCTGTTGACTCATTTCATTGCCACTGTGGCCCCAGGAGACAGGCCCTATTATTTATTGTCGTTTTTTTACGGATAAGGAAACGGAGACATAGAGGGATGATGTCACTGGCCAGGATTACGCAGCACGCAGGTGGCAGCTGGGATTTGAACCCCAGGCACCCAGAGTCAGCGTCTGAGCTTTGAGATGCCCCTCGTTAGGGACGCAGGGGGGTGGCTTGTGGCGTCACATTCCCACTGCCGAAAGTAATGGAGCCAGGGGGGGTGGCACCTGCTTCTGTCTGAACCCGGAGCTGGAACGCTCAGCCTGAAGCAGCACGGCCTCAGAGAGGCCACCCGTCCCCGTGACAACGAGTGCGTGACATTCGCGAGCCGGATGGGAGCACGGGTCCAGGCCTGCCTCACTGCATTCTCTCAGGGTGACCTCAGGCACGCTCTCTCCTGGCTCTGGGCCTCAGTTTCCCCATCTGAACAATGAGGGTTACAAGTATGCTCACCTCTCAAGAATTGCGTGAGGATGCCGAAACCAGTTTGGCTCAGTGGTAGAGCATCAGTCTGTGGACTGAAGGGTCCCAGGTTCGATTCCAGTCAAGGGCATTTATATTGGTTGCGGGCACATCCCCGGTAGGGCATGTGCAAGAGGCAGCTGGTCGATGTTTCTCTCTTATCAACGTTTCTAGCTCTTTATCTCTATTCCTCTCTGTAAAAAATCAATAAAATATATTTTAAGAAAAAAAAAAAACTGCCTGAGGACAGCTGGGGCCATGCACCTGGCTCTCAGTGACGGCTGCTCAGCCAGCTCCTTATGAGTTAGGGGCACTCTCTTATATGGGGCCGGGACCCTGCCCAGCACACAAGGCGAATCCCCAGCCTCTGCCCCTGGTGTCTCCACCCAGGACCCGCCAGAGGACATGAAGCAGGACCAAGACATCCAGGTGAGTCCAGTCTCTGGGAATGGGGGAGGGGGAGCAGGAGGACATCCATGGGGGGGAGAGAGGGACATCCTAGGAGAGAGGGACATTAGGGGCCTGTTGGGATAGCAGAACTGACCTACGTTATGTTGGTGGAGGAGGGGTGACCACCCTCTCGTGCTCACCACCGCCCACCCTCCCGCCCCCCCGTTCCACAGGCAGTGGCCACCTCCCTCCTGCCGCTGACGAAAGCCAACCTGCGCATGTTCCAGCACGCGCAGGATGACCTCATCCCCGCCGAGGATCGGCAGTTTGCCTGCTCCTCCTGTGACCACGTCTGGTGGCGCCGTGTGCCTCTGCGGAAGGAGGTGATAACCCAGCCCCGGGCCTGGACGCCTGGACTTTGTCGTATCCCCCACCCTCGGTAGCCAAAGCTCTGACTTCAGATGTTCAGCCTCTGAGAGCTCGTCCCCAATTCCCAACCCCGAGCTGGACTTCTGACCTCCAACGTGAGCTCAGCCCTTACCCCGGAGCTCTGACTCCCCAGTTGGACAGCTGCCACAGAAATCAAAGCTGACTCTGAGACCACAACCCCAAATCTGGCTTCTGAACACACACACACACACACACACACACCCCGATGATGTGCTCCCGGCAAATGCTTCAGGACCAACTCTTGAAGCGTAGGCCTGGGAAGGACCCTAGATTTGTAGCGTTTACCAATTTCCATGGTGTAAATATTCCCACTGTGGCCAGTATCGGGCTCCCAGGGTTCTCTTCCGAGAGTAAGCCTGCACCCTTCTCCACACCCACAGGTGTCGCGGTGCAGGAGATGCCGAAAGCGCTATGAGCCAGTGCCCCGTGACAAGATGTGGGGCGTGGCCGAGTTCCACTGCCCCAAGTGCGGGCACAACTTCCGGTGAGGGTGCTGACCCCCCCACCCCCCACCCCACCCCTCAGCCCTGCCCTCCCTGCCCTGGCCCCACTGCGGCTCAGCTTCACCCTCACCCTCAGACCCTCATGGCCCTGCCTGCCCACAGGGGCTGGGCTCAGATGGGGTCCCCATCCCCTTGTTACGGGTGTGACTTTCCGGTGTATCCGACACGGATCCTCCCCCCGCGCCGGGACCGGGACACGGATCACCGCAGCACCCACACCCACTCCTGCTCGGCTGCCGACTGCTTGAACCGGCGAGGTAAGGACCCCGCGTGGCCTTCCCCGACTCTGGGTAGTCTACTTGGCTTTTACTTCTAGGACATCAACTTCTGGGGTCTTACCCACCCAGGTCTCAGTCCCCATGGCCACTTCCCATGGCATCAGCCCCTTCTTCCATGTCTTCTCTGGCGCCCCGAGTCTCTATGGCCTCCCATTGCACCAGCCGCCTCCCATGGTCTTGCCCGGGAGGCCCTGTATTCTTGGTTCCTGTTTTGTCTTCTGGAGTCTCAGGTGAAGCCCAGGTCCCTGGGTCTCCTGTGGCTTTGACACCTGTGACTTCCACGTCTGAGTTTCCAAGTCTGTATCCTCAGCCCCTTCCCTCCCCAAAGCCCCCTTGGCCTCAGCCCCCTTGTCCCCAGAGCCTCATGTGACCTTAAGCTCCAGGACCTCAGCACCCCTCCCTTCCCAGAGCCCCACGTGCCTGGGACATCCTGCGCACACCCCAAGAGCCGGAAGCAGAACCACCTGCCCAAAGTCCTGTACCCCAGCGACCCCCACATCAGCAGCGGCTCCACGGTGGGCACCTGCCTGAGCCAGGGGAGCCTCCTAGAAGACCTGGACAACCTCATCCTGGAGGACCTGAAGGAGGAGGAGGAAGAGGAGGAGGAGGAGGGTGGGCACCGGGAGTGACCTGTACCAGGTGTGGATGCAAACCAGACACAGTCTGTAGATATTTTGTGTTGTTATAAAATATGAGCTCAAACCGCGACCTACGTGCCCTTGGGGAGCCACGTGGGTTGGAGAAGTTGGCAGGGGGGTTCCTGGGTCCTACTTTCAGGGTCCTGGGGAGCAGGTCCACAATGGGAAGGTCTGTGGGATGTGGCTCACATGGAGCCACGAAGGAGGTGTGGCCAGGACGGACATCCCCTGGGGGACAGATGGTCAGGGCTTCAGGGGCCGGATCAGCATGGCTGCCTTCTTGAGAGAGTAAGCCCCGCCTCGAAACTCAGCCCAGTAGACGCCGTCCTGGTAGCGGTTGCGGTAGTGGCCCCCATGGTGCCACACACCATTGAGGTTGGAGTGGGCACAGGCATGGTACCACCAGCCTCCCCGGTGGTACAGGGCACAGTTACCTGAGGGGAGAGAGAGAGTCCATGTCCGCTCGCCATAATAAAAGCTTCTCCCAGTACCCCACTAGTGCAAGGCTTTAACCAGGCATCCCCATCACCACCACCACTTTCTTCTTCAGAGTAATGGCCTGCATTCCTTCCCTATCCCCTTACCAAAGTACAAGTCTCCCTTTTCCTATCTTTTCTGCAAACTAGGATCTCCACCTCCCATTCCTTTACCAGGGGGAAAAAAACCTCTACTTTCTTTCTAGCATAAGAGTCCTAGCTCTCATACACTGCCCCCATACTCCCCACATGCTTGCTCTGCCTTTCACCAGAATAGGAGTCCTGTCCTCTGTTCCCTTGCATACCCTTACCAGAGAGAAATCTTACCCATCCCTTCCGTTCTTTGACTAGAAGTACCATCTTCCTTATTCCCCCGCCTACCCCTTCTCTCCATCCCCGCCCCACACACTCCAATAAGAGCTCCTTACCAGAATAGGAGTCTCGGTCCCTATCCACGGTGCTGAAAGGCTTGTCATTGTGCCAGGAAAGAGAGTCCCCCGCGTCTCCGTGGTACTGGCCAAGCCGTAGGCGGTAGTGGTCGCTCTCGGGCTCCAGGGAGAAACCGTCGTAGTGGGCACGTGCACCACGGCCTCCCCAGTCCTCCAGGAGCACCAGGAGCTCATTGTCCCCACGGCTGGTCAGCTGGTGCACAGGTTCAAGGCCCAGCCAGTATTCCCCGTCAGGCTGCCCGAAGCCCGCCTGGCAGGGAAGGCAGGAGGTCAGGAGCAGGTCCCCTTCCCTGCCCAGCCTTGCCCCTACCTACCTGCGCTCACCTTGTAGTGCTGCCAGGTAGTGAAAAAGTTAACTGAGCCGTCTTGCCGCCTCTGGATCACAGTCCAGCCTCCACCCTCCAGCTGCTGCTCGCACCACGCAGACACCGCGTGCCGGCCCAGTCGTAGCTCATACACTCCACTCTGCCCGTGGCCTGCCCGGTGTGCCTCTGCACAATCTCGCCATGGGCCTGTGGGCACAGAGGTGTGGGGTCAGTACAGCCTGGACCGACCAACCCCTTATGGGAATAAGAGTCCTAACTTGCACAGGTCCCTTCACCAGAATAGCAGTTTTTTTCTCTTCCATTCTCTCTCTCCAGAGAAAGTGCTCCAGTACCAATTTCCTTACCCGAATAAGACTGAGGGACTCTTCTCTCACTACAGCACACGTAGATCCTGGAGTTCTTAAATCTTGGCCAAATGGTCTCCTCACCAGAATAAGAGTTCTGAACATGGCCCTCTGAGCCAGCTCAAATTCTCACCAAAGTAGCAGTCTTAAATTCCCCGGCCCCTCATTAAAATAAAAGTGCCTTCTTAAAATAAAAGAGTAAGAATTTTGGTTTTTATCAGAATAAGAGCCACTGCCCCTTGTTCAGCCACTGGGATTAAACGTATTTCCTTCAGTCCTCTCGCCATGAGAGGAATATACCATTAAAACCTGGCTCATCACACCCCCAACAGCCCTGCCCTCATCTTACCTGCCGGCTTGGTGGGGACAGCAGGGTGCCCTGCAGGTAAGGGAAAAGCCAAGGGCCCCTGCTGTCTCGGGGTCTGGTCACTCTGGGACTCTGGGGCTGGGTTTAACCTGCTGCTGTCACCGGTGCCACCCACCAGACTGACGGGAACCACGGGCACCAGGGGCGGTGGTAGGACCTGGGTGACCAAGAGAATCATGTGATCGCATCAACCCTCAGCCCAGGCCACCTTGGGCTCCTCAATCTCAATCTCTCAGCATCCCCATGGGTAGGAAGTCAGGCAGGGGCAGGAATTGAACCTCCCCAAATGCCCAATTCTAGCTGTCAAGGACAGGCAGAATTGGGCTTAAATTCCTGTTCTGGTGGGCACGGCTTAACCCATCCGTGCCTCCAAACCCTTTTCTTTCAAGTGGAAATAATGAGTGCCTGCAACAATGAGTAATAACTTGCTGAATGCTTCCAACAACCCTGTACGGTAGGGACTGTCCCAGAGCCACCATCTCTTATTCAAAACCCAGGGCCAGACACGTCCCAGAATTCAGAATAATATGGCAGGAGTTAAGGACAGTAACATACAGCCGGTATTGTAATATTACAGAACACCTCCGCAACGTGGGTCTTTGGTCTTCATCCACATAATGTGCTTGACTGAAGCATTCTGAGGCTATTCATGTGAAGTGGATGAGTAAGGACTTTAGCCACCCGTTGCGTTTTTTGACCCAGAGGATTCTTGAAGGAAATGTAGGAATCTGGGCTTCCGGACTTTTCGGGTTTGGGAACTGCAGATAAGAGACTGTGGGGCCGAAACTGGTTTGGTTCTGTGAATAGAGCATGGGCTTGCAGACTAAAAGGTCCCAGGTTCAATTCCGGGCAAGGGCATGTACACACCCTTGCGGGCACATCCCCCGTAGGGGGTGTGCAAGAGGCAGCTGATTGATGTTTCTCTCACATAGATGTTTCTAGCTCTCTATCCCTCTCTCTTCCTCTCTGTAAAAAAAACAACAAAACATATTTTAAAAAGAGAGAGAGACCCTGGGGTTGCAGGAGGCCCATCTGCCAGGCTAACACGCCCAGGAAGTGGCTGCGGGGGAAGCGCGTGGGTTACCTGCTGCTGCCCGCCCGCGCCCCCCGGGCACAGGCGCTCCAGGCGGGCGATGAGGCCGCTCTGCTGGCTGACGAGCCGGGCCAGCTCGCGGAACTGGACGTCCAGCTGGTGGAAGCGGGCGGCCGCGCGCTGCGCCTCGGCGGAGGCGTTGAGCACGCGCTCGCCGAGCAGGGCCAGCGCCGCCGCGGGCTCCGCCCCCGCCCCGGGGCCCGCCTCGTGCTGCAGCTGCGCGCGCAGCTGGCCCAGGCGCGCGCCCAGGCCGCGGCTCTCCTTGCGCAGCGCGCGCACCTCGCCCGCCACCTCGCCGTCCGCCGCCGCGCGCCGATGGAGCTCGCGCAGCAGCGCCTCGTGCCGGCCCACGCGCGCGCGCAGCGCCGCCACCTCGCTGGCGTTGGCGGCCTCCGGGGCCGGGCGCGCGGCCGCCGGCCCGCTCCAGCACACGGCGCCCGTGAACTTCTGCTGGGGCAGCACGAAGGTGTAGGTGCAGCGCGGGGCGCCCGCCCGCGCCCAGGATGCGCCCAGCAGGAGCAGCAGCTGCAGCGCGCGCAGCCCCGGTGTCCCCATGGCGGACCTGCAGGCAGAGAGGACAGCCGGGGAAGGAGAGGGAGGCCCCCCCCCGGGAACCCAGACCCGACCCCCAGCTCTCAGGCCGGGCCAAATCGGACTGCTCCCAATGCAGTGTGTGTGTACACCTGCGTGGTTCCGGGTCCACGCAGACTCACCTCTGTCCTCCCACCCGAAGGCTGGAGGCTGACAGTGGGGTCCCGGCCAACGAGCATTCCCTAGTGCCTACTATGTGCCAGCCTCAGTGCAAGGCGCTGGGAACATGGTCGGAAACAAAATAAAATTCCTGCCTGGTGTGTAAGGGACAAAATAAAGTATGAGATTAATAAAGTGTTTTAGCCCTAACCGTGTTTTGGCTCAGTGGATAGAGCGTCGGCCGGCGGACTCAAGGGTCCCAGATTGGATTCCGGCCAAGATGTACCTCGTGTGCAGGAGGCAGCTGATCGATGTTTCTAACTCTCCCTCTCCCTTCCTCTCTATAAAAAATCAATAAAAGCCGAAACCGGTTTGCTCAATGGATAGAGCGTCGGTCTGTGGACTCAGGGGTCCCGGGGTTCAATTCTGGTCAAGGCACATCCGGTGGGGGGGAGGGGGGGAAGGGAGGGGAGGAAAGGGTGCAGGAGGCAGCTGGTCAATGTTTCTAGCTTTCTATCCCTCTCCCTTCCTCTCTGTGAAAAATCAATAAAATATATTTTTAAAAAATAAGGTGTTTTAGATAGCACTAAGTGCTAAAGATAGTTAAAGATCAGAGAGACCTGAGGCCATCTGAAAGGAGGGAAGGCCTGCTGGAGAGGTGACGTTTGAACAAAGTCCTGAAGGAGGAAGCCATGGGGATGTCTCAGGGAGAAGAGCAGCCCTGGCAGGGGGAACAGCATGTGCAAAGGCCCTGAGGCTGGCTGACGTACTAAAGGAACCTCAGGAGGCTGGAGCTGAAGCAGAGGAAGCATGGTTGGAAGGAGGTGAGGGGCAAGTCTCACTAACTCAGTCCAGTTCAGGACACCCCCTTCCCCATGTGCTCATCAGAACTGCCTGGTGCTACACCCACACCCCAACACCCACATGCCCCAGGTCTGCTGCGTCCCCCAGGTGTTCCCCAATTTACACAGGTGACCTCCTCTGAGCGTCCTCACTCAGGGTTGTATACTTGTAGCCACCTACCTCTGACCCTGTAGGGTCCACTCACGGGCCCCATTGTCTTCATTCCTGGGTTCACAGCCTCTGAGGTGGGGACACACATGACTCCCGTGTGCATGTGCAACCCAGAACACATCTCACGTGTCCACACATCAACCCTGTCTGTACTAAGTTCTACCCTGACCTGACCCCCACTTCCCGGTGGCCACACAGGCACATGTCCCATGGTCTTTATCGTCACACACACTGCCTCATCCACACATTCAGCAAACACTCCTTGAATTGTGTGCCAGGAGCCATTCCAAGCGGTGGGGACACAGGCAAAATCCCTGTCCCCATGAACTTGACATCCTGGTTGGGAAAATGGACGATGGATGGATAGGTCAGAGAGGGTGGTAAGTGCTTAGAAGGAACCTCAAGCAGGGAAGGGGGGGGAGGGGGTCCTGGGCTGGAGTGGTGTTTTAAATAGAAGGGTTGGGCCTCTATTTAAAGAGATGACACTTGAACGAAGACCTGAAGGAAGAGAGAGAAGGGACAGAGCAGTTAGGCAAAGGGAACAGCAGTGCAAAAGCCCTGAGGTGGGGGCTGGCATGGTACGCCCAAGGAACAGTAGGGAGGCTGTGTGGCTGGAACAGGGAGGGGGGCAGAGTGGAAGGAAGGAAGCATTGAGAGGTGAGGGGGGGATGTGAGCAGCATCCTGAGAACCTCCGGAGGACTTGGGTTTTACTTTAACTCATGAGACCCAGGAGGGGTTCTGGGCTGGGAAAAAGCCCATTCACGACTAAACTTACACATCAAGCCCTGACCGGTTTGGCTCAGTGGATGGAGCATCGGGTCCCAGGTTCAATTCCAGTCAAGGGCATGTACCTTGGTTGCGGGCACATCCCTAGCAAGGGGTGTGTGCAGGAGGCAGCTGATCAATGTTTCTCTCTCATTGATGTTTCTCTCTATCCCTCTCCCTTCCTCTTAATAAAAAATATATTTTAAAAAATTAAATAGCCGAAACCGGTTTGGCTCAGTGGTAGAGCGTCGGTCTGCGGACTGAAAGGTCCCAGGTTCGATTCCAGTCAGGGGCATGTGCGTTGGTTGCAGGCACATCCCCGGAAGGGGCTGTGCAAGAGGCAGCTGGTCGATGTTTCTCTCATTGACGTTTCTAGCTCTCTATCTCTCTCCCTTCCTCTCTGTAAAAAAATCAATAAAATATGTTTTAAAAAAATAAATGAATAAAATAAAATAAAAAATTAAATAAATAAACTTACACATCAAGCAGGAGCTTCCAAGGGCAGAGCAAGGAGCAGGGTCCTCTCCTAGCCCCGCAGCCTCCCTTCCCTCCCCCCAAAGACACCAGGCCCCACACTACAGAAAAGGACTGCCTTCTCTGGAGCTAGAGTGTGTACCACCCCCTGCCTACCAGCATCTCAGCCTGAGGGGAGGAGGAGGCCTGGGAAGCCTCCAGCCAAGGAGCCAACCGGGTCTCCCCCAGGACAGAATCAGCCTCCACCGGCCCTGCCACCCTCCTGCCCTCTCACCTCTCACAGCCAAGATCCGGAATCCAGCGAGGAGGCCCGTGGCAGGCACAGAAGTCAGAGGAGGAGCCAAGGGTCCAGCGAGGGCCTCTGAGCAGGGGAAGGGAAGAGGCCAGTGGGAGAGCAGGGGGGAGGAGACTTAGTAACCCCCAACCCTTACCAGCCACCCCCCCCCCCATCAGAGCCTGGGACTAGAGCTGTGATGCTGAGCCCAGGAGCTCAAACTGTAAATATTTAGCATTTTCCGCATGAGAATTGAGGCCGAATTGCCAGACCCTCTTGCCCAGGCCACCAGAGCCGGATAACACAGGTCAGTGGCCTGGACATTCCCCCCATTAGCAGGACACAGAGCGTGGGAGGCTGCAGGCCCCAGGAAGCCGGGAAGATCCAGCATCAGACACAGACACACGCACACACACAGAAAAGGACCACGGCCAACCTCTGCAGGGGCACCTGCTGTGCCTGAGGCATGGCTCTAAACTCTTTTCACCTCTCATCTCATTTCACCCTTGCAACCTGAGCAGGCTTCTGTGGGTAGCCCCATTTAGCAACAGGGAAAACTGAGCCTCAGAGATGGTGAGTGACTTGCTCACGGCCCCACAGACCAAAAGGACCCACAGTGGGATCTGGCCCAGTAGCTTGACTCCAAAACTTGCACACATATATCATGACAATCACACACACCCTTGTGCACATACCAAGACATGCAGGCCGCTGCACGAATCGGCAAAGACAGATAGAATCTGTGTATGCGGGTGTGTGTGTGTGTGGGGGGGGTATTTGCCTGGCCCATGCATACACAGACGCCTTTTGCCAGAGACATGACTGGAAACATGGCACAGATTCAGGCAGCAGTGTTCAAAATATGTTCACACACACACACACACACACACACACATCACAACGTAAAGGGAAAGGTCCTGTGGACTGATCCTGTCTGTACCTGTGTGCCAGACACATACATACTCACCCAGGTACACGAGGTCACACACTGACAAGCACAGAGATGCAGATCAGTGTGCTCCGGGTTGTATAGTGAGACACATACCTGCCCCCACCCACACCACAGTGCACATGTTTCCATTGTCCCCCCCCCCCCCCCCACACACACACTGTCACATCCTCACGCTGGGCAAGTCATGCAGGGACAGAAACAGGCAGCAGTGATCATACAGCCATTTTTCCGGGGAACAGAAAGACTCACGCAGAGCCTCCAGAGCCCAGGTCTGGGATCCGCAGCCTGTGCGAAGGCCTCCTCCACCAGCAGCCTTTCCCGCGTTCCTACTGTCCTCAACTCGCAACCCAAGTGGACTCGCGGGCTGAAAGAGGAAATGGTCCTCCCAGATGTAAGAGAGGCTGCCAAGCTGGGCTCCAGCCTGGACTGGGCCCCCCCACCCGCAGCCCCTTCCAGTTTCCCCCATTGGCAGCAGAGAGAGAAAAAAACCTCCTAAGTGACAGAGAGGCTGACATAAGGGAGTGTGAAAGCCAGGGAAGGGGAGAGACATGGGGGAAATGGGGAGTCTGGAGAGAGAGGCTAGGAGAGAAATGGGATTAGGGACAGAGAGAGGAGAAAGATGGAAACTTAGAAATAATGAAAGAAAGAATTGATGGCAGAAACAAAGTTGGGGAAGAGGGAGAGACAGGGAGGAGACAGAGGTGGGGAGGAGGAGACAAAGAGGGGGAAGAATTGGGGAGGGGGAGACAGAGGAAGAAGGAAGGCAAATGGGGGAGGGAAGGCAGATGGGAAAGGAAGCAAATGGAACAGGGAGAGAGATGTTGGGGGGCATCCCTCCCCCTCACCCCAAGATTCTGGGGAAGAAGCCAGAGGCCTGAGGCCAAGACTGGGGCTTTGAGCGGAAACCGGTGATGAATTTTTCACCAAGCGCCGAATTGCTTGGAGTTTCCAGAGGTGATGTGGAGTTTCCATCCTCAGCCGGTTCGCAGGCAAGACCCTCTAGGGAGGAGACAGCTGGCCCTCAGAGCTGGGGGCCCAAATGAGTAGTAATCGGCCCTTTTCTGGTTGCTCCTGAAGCACCTGGTGCCTGTGTGCCAAGCACTGTGTGTACACCGTCTCTCTTAATTCACGGGTCAGGACTTAAATGATTTATCATATTCACTTTGGGATACACTAGAAGCCTCGGGGTGCAGGAATTGGTTCTCAAAATCGCACCGCTGGCGGAAGTGACCGAGGCGGGATTCGAACCTGAGCTGCTTCCTTTCTCAGAGCGCTCCAGAGCTCCCGGAGCCGCGCGGCCCCGCCCCGGTTTCCATAGAAACAGGCACCAAGTGTCCCCGTAGCAACACATCAATGATTTCCCCGCCCCCACCACGCTAACTGGCGCGTACACGTAACCGTGTGGCGACGTCATCGCACAGCGACGCCTCACGTGACCACACTCCCGTGCCGGAAGTGAACGGCACGGCGCCGGAAGCGGCCGGAGGAAGGTCCTCGTGGAGTAGACGCCAGCATGGGGCAGTCGGGGCGGGTGAGGTGCGGCGGCCCGGGAGGCGGGCAGCTCGGGCGGGGGCCCCGCGGAGTCCGCAGGGCTCACCTTCTCTCCCCTCTCGCCACAGTCCCGGCACCAGAAGCGCGCACGCGCCCAGGCTCAGCAGCGCAACCTCGAGGCCTACGCCGCGCAGCCGCACTCGTTCGTGTTCGCCCGGGGCCGCGCGGGTCGCGGCGTCCGGCAGCTCAGCCTGGACCTACGGCGGGTCATGGAGCCGCTCACCGCCACCCGCCTGCAGGTCGGCACCCTCCAGCCCACCTTCACTGCCCTTTGAGGCTGCCCTCGGGGGGCCTCATTTTGCTTGGCTAGAGAAAGGGTCCTTTGTGGGGACCATCGCCCCCGCCTCCCAGCTTCGCAGCAGCGAGGGAGTGCCTGATCGCACTCAGCTTAGGGTTTGGCTGGGTACCTGAAGTTTGTGGTGAAGAGGGGACTCTGGAATCGGCAGAGTTGAGTTGGAAACTTGACTTCTTCCAAAGGCCTGCAGCAAGTTAACCTCGCTGGGCTTTGGTTGGCCTGATTGCAAAAGGGGGCGATGCGCGGTAAGCCAGGGACAGGCGCAGCACTCGAATTCTAGAGGCAGAGGATTTAAGGCCAAGAGCATTCCACTCCTTCCTCACCCCCTTTTCAGAAAAATTAGATGCAAGAAAGGTCATAACGGGTTTAAGTTTATAGTCTTTGCTCAAAAGAGGAATGTCTTTGGTCATTTCTTTATTTTTCTAATATCCAGATACGAAAGAAAAATTCTCTGAAGGATTGTGTGGCAGTGGCTGGGCCCCTAGGGGTCACTCATTTCCTGATACTGAGCAAAACGGAGACTAATATCTACTTTGTGAGTGGATTCCTGCACCCATCTTCCCCCATACCCTCCTCCTCCCCCAGCTCTCTTGATGAACCCATGTGCCTCTGAGCTGCCATGATTCTGGCTTCAAAGTAAACGCTCTGAAGAGATGGGGCGATGGGTCCCACCCCTGCTCCCAACCTGGATGCCTCCACCCTCATTGGTCCTTTCTTCCCCGCAGAAGCTGATGCGCCTCCCAGGAGGCCCCACCTTGACTTTCCGGGTCAACAAGGTAAGGCTCGGAGGTGGTAATGGAAACCGTGTGGGGCAGGAGCTGGGTTGGGGAATGACGCCAGCCACGTGTGGTGGGTAGTCACCCACTCCTCACCCCGCCCTGCAGTACACACTGACACGTGACGTGGTCTCCTCGCTGCGCCGCCACCGCATGCACGAGCAGCAGTTCACCCACCCTCCCCTCCTGGTGCTCAACAGCTTCGGGCCCCTTGGCATGCACGTGAAGCTCATGGCTACCATGTTCCAGAACCTGTTCCCTTCCATCAACGTGCACAAGGTGGGCAGGGCCTGGGTGGTGGCAGGGGTGGGTGGATGGCGCAGGTGGCAGGTACCACACAGGCCCTAGGGTTGACTGCTCAGTCCTCACCTCCCAGCACTCTGGCAGAGAGTTCTGACTCCCCAAATTAAGTCTCACTTGCATTGTATGGCACGGGACTCCCTTTGAACTGCCTTCACATATAGCAGGTGGAAAATGCCAATGTTTTTTTTTTTTTTTTAAATGTATATATTTTTATTGATTTCATACAGAAAGAAGGAGAGAGAATCCTCAATGATAAAAGAGAATCATGGATCGGCTGCCTCCTGCACACCCCCTACTGAGGATCGAGCCTGCAACCCGGGCATGTGCCCTTGATCAGAATCGAACCTGGGACCTTTCAGTCCACAGGCCAATGGTGCTTTCTTGAGTGCTAGTTTAAGCAGTGTACGTTGTGTTGTCATGCCCTGTTCCCCTTAAGGAAGCAGGCTGACCTGTGAAGTCTGAGGTTAGTTATAAGGCTAACGGTTCCTAAGCCCGGGCACCAGTGGGCCTCAAATTCTGCTTGTTAGATACGGTCATCAGGGAGTTTGGAGTGGGCGGCCTTGGTGGGTGCTGGAACCAGGTTTGTAGCCAGCAGTCCATGGACACCACTTGCAGCCCCATCAGTCCCTGCAGGGCTGGGCTTGGCCTCCAACATGCAGTGAGGCCTAAAGGCAGCTGCCATGGTGCCGTGTCCTTTCCAGGTGAACCTGAATACCATCAAGCGCTGCCTTCTCATCAACTACAACCCTGACTCCCAGGAACTGGATTTCCGCCACTAGTGAGTGCAGGGGCAGAGGGTAGCAGGGGGTGTGCTGCTCTGGGTGCAGCTGATGACAATGCTGCTGCTGAGGCTCAGTGATTGCTCAGTCTCAAAGTAAACGCCCTGACGCACCATGAAAACGGGAGAGGGTAAGGCTGGCCCCTGCCTCTGTGGCCCCTAACCCCCCTCCTCATTACTCCGGCCTCTGCAGTAGCATCAAAGTTGTCCCTGTGGGCGCAAGTCGTGGGATGAAGAAGCTTCTCCAAGAGAAGTTCCCCAACATGAGCCGCCTGCAGGACATCAGCGAGCTGTTGGCCACGTGAGGAAGGGGCAGAGGGAGGCTACCATGGCCCAGGGGACCCCAGGAGCCTGGGGCTCCCTGCTGAGCCTTGTGTCCCTGGCACAGGGGTGCGGGACTGTCGGAGAGTGAGGCAGAGCCCGACGGCGAACACAACATTACAGAGCTGCCCCAGGCCATCGCAGGGCGCGGCAACATGCGGGCCCAGCAGAGCGCCGTGAGGCTTACTGAGGTGAGGCCCCGTGGCTGCGGCCACTTCCTCCCGCAGCCCCCGCCTTGAAGAAGGACTGACTCTTCCTCCCTGTCCCTCCAGATCGGACCTCGGATGACACTGCAGCTTATCAAGATTCAGGAGGGTGTCGGGGAGGGGAACGTGCTCTTCCATAGTTTCGGTGAGGTCAGGGCAGCGGGCACAGGGCCCGGGGTCTGAGGCCCCCCAGGGAGGGTCGTTAGGTGCACTGGGCACACCTGGATCTTGGTGAACCGTTTCTTCTTTCTAAGTGCACAAGACAGAGGAGGAGCTGCAGGCCATACTGGCAGCCAAGGAGGAGAAGCTGCGGCTGAAGGCCCAGAGGCAGGACCAGCAGGCCCAGAATGTCCAGCGTAAGAAGGAACAGCGAGAGGCCCACAGGTGTGTGGTCGGCGGGTGGGGCGGGTCCCTGGTGCAGGCTGCTACCCTGACCAACATGAACATTCCTCCTCCAGGAAGAAGAGCCTGGCGGGCATGAAGCGGGCCCGGGCAGAGGCCGATGGGGACAGCGATGCTGAGGACCCCGGGGCCCCCCCAGAGGCAGACAGAGCTGGCCAGCAGGAGGAGGAGGATGAAGCTGAGTATTTCCGCCAAGCCGTGGGCGAGGAGCCTGACGAAGGTGCTTGGCAGGGATCAGTGCAGCCGGGTGCTGGAACCTGTCCCTGTCCAGGTGACCCTGACACCATATTTCTTTGCAGACATGTTCCCAAATGCCCGGCGGAGACGGTCCACCAGGCCTCCGAGCAAGAAGCAGCGCTTAAAGCAGCAGAGGCCAGACCGGGGCAGTGACCACAGGCCTCCGAAAGCCAAGGGCAGGCCCCGGGGGACCCAAGCCAAGGGGCCTCGCGGGGCTGTTCAGAACTATGGCCGAGGCCGAGCACAGCGACCCAAGAGAGTGGCCTGAGGTGGAACCTGAGCAGCGGGTGAAATGCCCCAGATTGGGGCCCAGAGCTGCCCTGGGCTCCTGCCTGGGTGTCCAGGGGCAGCCCTGTTTCCTTTCATAAAGGAGCTGGTTCCCCAACCTTCTAATAAATGGTTTCCCACGAGTCAGAGGCTGCATTGGAATGAGGGATTCAGAGGCCAGGAGCCCCTGGGAGTTGGGCCTGGAAGTGTGGAACTCAGATTGTATCCTAGTGGTTGGCGTCTCTGTCCTGGGCCCCTTCCCAGCTTCCCTCAGACTAAGGGTTCCAGCCTGCCCTCCAGGTCTAAAGAGTGCAATGCGGAAGGAAATGGGCTGGCCGCTGGCGCCTGACTAGACCTGACTGGGCGGTGGGTGGGGCTGTGGGGGGAGTGGCCAACGCACTGCTGTTCACTGGGGGAGGGACAGAACACATTGTGGGCCGGAGACCCAAAGGCAGGGTGAGGGCCACGGCGGACACAATGTCAGGTGAGGAGGGAGCACAGGGCCCGGCCCCTGTGTACCCCGGGCTGGGCTGGAGGTGGGAGTGGGGATGGTGTAAGAAGCAGGTCTGAAGCTGAGAACTAGAACAGGAAGGCAGAGGTGGAGTGGAAAGTCTGGTGAGGGAGGTCTGTACACGTCCTGCCTTCAGACGGGACTTGTTCCTGGGGATTTTACTTAAATGGTGATAAGAGATAGACTGTTTTTGGAAGAAAAAGTTGGGGAAGTGGGGGACTATGGGGTACAATGGAAAGGTTAGGATGGTCAGAACTGGAGGAAGACAAGCCTTCAGTATGTCTGTGACTCAAAAAGAACCTCCAGTGCAAAGGCCCTGAAGCAGATGTGCCTAAGAAATATCCAGGAAGCAGACTGGAAGTCTCCTGGAGAAGATAAAAGCCAGAGGGTGGGAGTCAGACCTCCCTCAGGGCCTTGTGGGATGAGGCAAGCACTGGCTTTTCTGCCTAGTAAGGAAGAACCTCTAGGGTGATCTGAGCACGTGGCCTGATAGGTGCTCCCAGGCGCCCTCTGGAGGCTCTGGGAGAGTAAATCAGGTGAGGATGGGAGCTGGGAGACCCGGCCTAGGCAACTGTTAGTCCAGATGGATGACATGGGCTGGACACAAGTGGTGTTAAGGGGTGACAGATCTAGAAATATCCATCAGCTGCCTCCTGTACACCTCCTACTGGGGATGTTCCTGCAACCAAGGTACATGCCCTTGACTCGAACCTGGGACATTTCAGTCCGCAGGCCAACACTATCCACTGAGCAAACCAGTTAGGGCAAGGAGGTACAGATCTTGAAGATAGGTACTTGCTGGTGGATTGCAGTGGGGTCAGACTCCCAACTCCTGTTCTCCATCCCAGTCCTGATGGGTCCCAGTCATTACCAGTTTACGTGGGTCCTTTGTGGGCAATTCCCTCTAGTTCTTGCCCCATCTGATCTTATAGGGTGTGACAGGATCCCAATGGAACTCGGTTCTGACCTTTCTAGGCCTGACTCCATAGAAAAGAGCTGGGCTCGTCAAAAAGTCCTCTAGAAAGGGGTAATGCAGGCCTGTGCACAGCAGGCACTCGGGACTGACCCACAGTACAATGCAGCTCTGAAAGGGACCTCAGTGAGGTGGGGACTCAGCAACACCCTGGTCCACAGGTGCCCCATCCTGCCCAGCCAACATCTCCGCAGCTGCTGACCGGGTCCTCAGTGGCTTCCAGGAAGGCTTCCTGTGGCCCCTGCTGGTGACCGAGTTCCTGGTGGCCGTGGCTGGTAACAGCCTGGCCCTCTACCGCTTCGGCACACGGGAGCAGCGCCCCTGGCACCCGGCCGTGATCTTCTCGGCCCAGCTGGCTGTCAGCGATCTGCTCTATGCCCTGACACTGCCCCCGCTGGCTGCCTACTTCTACCCACCCAAACACTGGCGCTACGGGGAGGCCATGTGCCGCCTCGAGCGTTTCCTCTTCATCTGCAACATGCTGGGCAGCATCATCTTCATCACCTGCATCAGCCTCAACCGCTACCTGGGCGTCGTCCACCCCTTCTTCACCCGCAGCCACCTGCGGCCCAAGCACGCCTGGGCCGTCAGTGCTGCAGGCTGGGTGCTGGCGGCCCTGCTGGCGGCGCCCACCCTCAGCTTCTCCCACCTGACCACCCCGCAGCAACAAGGCAACTGCTCCGTGGCCAGGCCCGACGCCTGCATCAAGTGCCTGGGGACCGCGAGTGACAGCCACCTCAAGGCCTTCACAGCCTACAGCCTGGTGCTGATGGCCCTGGGCTGCGGCCTGCCGCTGCTGCTCACCCTGGCGGCCTACGGCGCCCTCAGCCGGGCCGTGCTACGCAGCCACGGCATGACGGCAGCCGAGAAGATGCACGTGGGAGTGTTGGTGGCCAGCGGTGTGGTGCTTTATGCTGGTTCCTACCTGCCCTACTTTGTCACACGGGTTATCAACGTGTCTGCCCGGCAGCGCTGGACAGCCCGCTGCCCATCCTTTGTGGACGAGGCTCAGGCTGTGAGGGCACTGGACCTGGGGTCCTACGTGGGCCACCAGGTGACGCGGGGCCTCGTGCCCCTGGCCATCTGCATCCACCCGCTGCTCTACATGGCTGTGGCGCCCAGCGCAGGCTGCTGCCACCAATGCTGCCTCCGCTGCAGGGAGGGCCGGGCCTCAGAGACTGCAGAGAGCCCCAGCCAACCCCTGGCCCTCACCGCCACAGCCACCAAGACCTCAGGGCCCCAGTCCCCTGAGCTGAGCCCATGACCTGATCTATTTGGAGCTTCTTCCCCACAAGGCCCTGGGACCCAGCAGCCGAACGGGTGAGAGCACAGCAAGATCAAACCACTTCCTCAAAGGAGGAGCCAGCACTCAGGCCAGACAGGCAGTCTGGGCCAGATTTCTCCCACAGCACTAACCATGGGCAGGGCTACAGAGGCAAGCCATGCAGGGGGAAGGGAGGGGGAGGGCTGCCCCACCCGCCACAGGTGGGTGATATTTATGTATAAACAGGACACGCACAGGGCAATTGGAGCTTTTTTATTGCCCTTGGTGTCCCTCCTTGTAGAGGTCGCCCACTGTTGCCACAGGGTCCTAGGGCCGGGTGCCAAACAGCAGCAGCAGCAACAGCTGGCTTAGTTGGTGGATGGCCTAGAGGGGAAGACAGGAGTGATGAGAAGGGAAAGTGTGGGGGCTTCAGGCCCCAAAGGGAGTCCCAAGACTTCCCCTCACCCCCCCCCCCCACGCCCGCACAAAACTGGGGCCTCAGTGTGGGTGGGGCAAGACATGGAGCCACACCATCAGTGACCAGCCTGACCCTGGATGGCAAGATAAAGGACAATAAATGACTTGCACCCCCCCCAACAGGCTTGGCAATTATTCAACCGGCGTGGGGCTGTGTGAGCGTCACCGGTGTGGGGCTGTGTCAGCGTCACCGGCGTGGGGCTGTGTGAGCGTCACCGGTGTGGGGCTGTGTCAGCGTCACCGGTGTGGGGCTGTGTCAGCGTCACATGGGGCGGGAGGGGTCTTACTTGGCCCACTCGACGTTGAGGATGAGGTGGTCGTAGCCGAAGCCGGACACTCCGGCAATGGCGCGGGCGGCGTCCTCGCGGCGGTGGAAGCTGATGAAGGCAAAGCCCTGGGGAAGGGGAGGGAAAAGGGAGCTCAGGGCACGGCCGGCCGGATGACCCTTCCCACTCATGGCCACCAACCCACCTTGGACTGGCCAGTGGTCTTGTCCTTCGCCAGGTAGATGCGGGAGATGGAGCCGAAGGGCCTGAAGAGCTCTTGCAGGTCTGTCTCCCGGGTGTCCTCTGACAGGTTGGTGACGCGGATGGTGGCATTGTCGTCAGCTGGGCATCGGGCAGGAAGAGGCAGCTGTCAGTGGCCAGGCCAGCTTGGGCCCCACCCACAGGATAATCACTGGGTGCTGGGAGGTGCCCTCACTGCCTCACCTCTGCGGTTGGGCTGCATGGACTCCCCACGGCGGCTGGCCCCGTCCCGCAGGCTCGGTGGCACGTACTTCCCTGTCTTGTTCTGGGCCGCCTGCACAGGCTCCAGCTCTGGAAGCCAAAAGCACAGTCGGGTGAGGCCTCACCCTCGCACACAGAGGGACAGACCCACCCAGGATGCCGGCAATTCCCGCCCTGACCCAGCCCAGGTGCTGTGTGTCAAAGCCCAGGCATCGCTCCCTCAGAGACCTGGTGGCCATGATGACATAAAGGAAACCAGCAGCACACAGAGCAAGCAGCCACAGGTGTTAAGATGGTCTGAGGAGCCCACAGGGTTGAGAGCTAGAGGAATGCCCGCCCTAGTCAACACAGAGGAACACAAGCACGTGGGGTAGGGACAGGCCCTGGGTGCCACACACATGGCAGTTAAGTATGCTGCACACCAAGGTCAGATGGAGACTTGTGCAAACTCAAACTCACACTCAAACTCACCATCAGCAAATCACACCGAAGGATGTGGACTATGGACAGCCACGTATGTGTGACTACTCATAGGTGTGCGTGTGCGCGCACAAAAACATGCACAGGTGGCAGCCGTGTCCAATGTGGACAGGCACAGCGCACTCAAGTCAGGACCGTCACAAAATCAGCAGAATCACGGGGAGAGTCTCACATCAGGAACCCACCTCCTCCCAATCATGCACCGTGGAGTTAACACACAAAGGCATGCACCCGGGTGATTCTCACAGCCCCCAACAGGAAGAGGCAGGTGACACCACCAGCAGTCCCAGCAGCCAGCTGGCTGGGCTCTCTCTCACACAGACAGGGACTGTGACCACAGCCTTCGCAGTGCGGACGATGATCAGAGGTGATGGGGACGGCCCATTCACACAAGGCAGGTGACAACCTAGGACTCACAGCACCTCCCCACCGCCCTTCCTCCCTGACCTGCCAGCCACCCCGCAGGCCCCGTCACCTCCAGGCAGTTTCTCCTTCTCGCCGGTGGACAGGCCCAGTTGCTCAGCCAGCTCCTTCTGCATGGGCCCCAGCGTGTCCTTGTAGGGACAGCGGGTGGTCCAGTGGTCGCCCTTGCAGATACGGCAGGACACGATCTTCTGGCCCTTGAGCTTGTTCATTGGGTCCTCCTCCTCCTGGCAGTTCAGATCCTGGCAGGGCGGACGAAGGCAGCTCAGAGCGGGGAGCCACATCACCACCACCACCCTGGCTACCACCACCCCGCCCGGCTGCCCACTCACCTCCTTGCTGGTGATAAAAGTCATGGACACATCATCACTGACTGTGGTGGTGGCCACATTGGGTCCCGGTGGGTCAAACTCTGAGTTCCCAAACTTCTTCCAGTTCTGGGCGCAGGGCAGAGTGGGGCACAGGTCAGGACAAGGCCAGAGCAGTGGGCCCTCCCCCCTGGACCCCAGGCCTATAGGAGCCCCTTTCAGGGTGTCCTGGCCTTAAATCCATTCTCCATTCTCTCCAAGTGCGTGCCAGACCCTAGTTTCATGTCAGCTCCAGGAGGCCAGGGCAGCTCTCAGCCTCCTGTTTTTTATTTTTGTTTTGTTTTTTTAATTTATTTTTTTGATTTTTACAGAGAGGAAGAGAGAGGGACAGAGAATCAGAAACATCGATGAGAGATAGTCATCAATCAGCTGCCTCTTGCACACCCCCTACTGGGTATGGGCCCACAACCAAGGTATATGCCCTTGACCGGAATCGAACCCAGGACCTTTCAGTCCGCAGGCCGATGTCCTATCCACTGAGCCAAACTGGTTTCAGCTCAGCCTCATGTTTTTTTTGTTTTGTTTTTTAAATATATTTTATTTTTATCTATTTATTTATTTTTTTACAGAGAGGAAGAGAGAGGGATAGAGAGTTAGAAACATCAATGAGACATAAACATCGATCTGCCTCCTGCACACGCACTACTGAGGATGTGCCCGCAACCAAGGTACATGCCCTTGACCGGAATCGAACCCAGGACCCTTCAGTCCGCAGGCCGATGCTCTATCCGCTGAGCCAAACCGATCTCGGCTCAGCACCATGTCGTAAATGAGCAAACGAAACCCAGGGGAAAACAGCTCCACAGTCAACACTTCCTAGGGGGCCATCCAGGTGGCAGACCAGCTCCCAACAAGGAGTGATGCTCAGAGGGAGCTGGGCTGCAGGACTCACCCAGACTCGAGGGGCCTTGAGCTGAACAACCTGAGCCTCAGCTTCCTCCCCTACAAGGTGGGACCACAAATGCTCCCCACCTCCCTGTGTCGTTACGGGGATCAAAGGAGAAAACTCCTTCTACAAAGCATATGGCACGGGGGCTGGCACACGGTGTGAAGGTAACTGTGCCAAATCTATTTATCGCTATCACTTCTGCCACGGCCACCTCAGGGGAGCTCTTGACTCTGTCCCTCCAGGTAGAGAAGCCAAGAAGAGTAAGAAACAACCTCACCCACTCCTGGACTTTTGGGGACCCCAACAGAGTACACACACCCCTAGGCCTCAGTTCCCCAATAAAAAAAGGTAAACCAGTTACACCTCACTTCTAAAAACAAAGGCCCTGGGAAAAAAGAATTCTTCATTCCTCTGAGTCAGCCCTTAGGGACCCAAAACAAGGAAGGAGCAGGGTCTTACCTTCCTCCTCGCAACTGCCTTTGAGGCCTTCCGGGTCTCGATTCTGAAGGTGCGGACAATCTGGATGGGAGCGAAGAGGAGTGGGCTTCCCAGGCCTCAAGGCTCCTGAGCCCAGGGGACCTTCCTCACCAACCCACCCAACACACCACCCCCTCCCGGTCCACGTGCCCCACCTCCTCACCCCGCCTCACCTTGAACTTCTTGCCATCTTCATCTATCTTGTACTCGGTTACTGTCTTGATGTTTCCATTGATGACCTCCTTGGGTGCCGGAAGTGGAGCTGGGACGGGGGAAGGGGCGAGAGGAACTGAGCCCTATGCCACGGGGGTCGGGAGGGCATGCGGCTAGGGAGAGAGGTAGTCCAGGGATGGCGTGGAGGCTGTCACTCACCTCCTGGCAGTAGCTCGGGCTCGGGGCTCGTGTCGCCAGTGGCCAAAGGGATCCCCTTGAGGAGCTCGCTGGTGACACATTTGTCTGTGAGAGGGGGCGAGGGGAGAGGGATGAAGTGGAGGGGCAGGAGTTCCCGAGCTAAAAAGGGACCTTTGGGATGATGCCCAAGCCAAGAGGTGAAAAAGGCAGGACCAAGAGGCCAGAGGACTGGCCAGGAAGTGCCCTGGGACAGCCGTGCGGGGACACGCGAGCTGGCCGTAATAACCTGGGGCAATTGCAAACATAGGGCATCCTTGGCAGGACGGCAGGGGCAGGCCACCGGGGCATCTGGGCGCAGGCACGAAGCAGGAGGCAGACGGTTACAACGTCCTCCGCGGAGCAGAGGGGCGGCTGGGAGGGCTTGGGCAGCGGCATGGGAGGAAGAGGGGCTGGCCAGGGACCATCTGGAACCGGCGACAGCCTGGCCCCTATAAGGGCGGCGCGGGCAGAGGCTGGCTGGGAAGGGAAACGCGGCGTCTGACGGCGGTGACACGGTCGGGGCGGGGGGCCGGGGCCGGAGCAGGCGGCAGCGGCCGGGCTGGGGGCTGGGGGCTGGCCGCGGTGACCCGGGGCGACCAGGCGTACTCACCGTCCTCTACCTCCTCCTCTACCTGGTCGGCCCAGCTGGGCTTCGAACTGCGGGGACAAGTTTGCAGAGTCAGCGAGGCCTGGCTCCCGCAGCCTCCGCCCTCCCAGGCCCCATAATACCCTTCTAGGGCTCCCCCGAATCGCCTCCCGGCCCCTCTCCCCGACCCTCAACTCACTCAAAGTCCCCGGTGGGCATTGCAAAAACTCCTCCACGCAGCCCAAGCCTGGGCCAGAGACCGGAAGTAGGGGGAGAACGAGACTTCCGGTTCGTGGCCTACACCAGCCCGCCGCAGCGCCCACAGCGCCCCCTGCAGTCAGGGATGCCCGCTGTGCGAGCGGCTGGGCGCTGGTACCCAAGTAAGTAGGAGCAGAGGCCTATCTCAGGGCTTAACCTTGAAAAATGTTTCAAAATCCCAGACAAGAAAAGAACCAAAGGAAAATACACAAGGAACAATGTAAAAAAGAAAAGGAACCAAACCAGTATTACAAGAAATGTTAAAGGGACTTCTTCAGGAACGCGAAGGAAAAAATATAAAAAAAATATGAATGATAGAATGGCAATGACAACATACCTATAGATAAGTACTTTAAGTGCAAATGGATGAAATGATTCAATCAAAAGACATAGGGCAGCTGAGTGTAGCTGGGTGGGTGAGAAAACAAGACTCTTACATATGCTGCCTGCAAGAGACCTGCTTCAGATGGTCAGACACACAGAGACTGAAAGTAAAGGGGTAGGAAAAGGTATTTCATGCAAATGGAAACAAACAAACAAACAAAGCTGGGGTAACAAGACTTCTACCACACAAAATAGGTTTTCTTTTTGTAATCTCACTCGAGGGTGGTCAATTTTCCATTGATTTTTGAGTGGGAGGGAGGGAGAAAAGGAGGGGGAGAGGCTCATGAGAGAGAGAGAGAGAGAGAGAGAGAGAGAGAGAGAGAGAGAGAGAGAGAGAGAGAGAGAAAGGTTGCCTTCCGCACTCACCCCAACGGGGAATTGAACCCATGACCCTTCCGTGTAGGCAAATGCTCTAACAACTTAGCAACACTGGCCAGGGCCAAAATAGACTTTAAAACAAAAGCTATAACAAGAGAAAAGAGAGATCCAACAAGTCCACTTCTGAGCATTTATCTGAAGAAACCCAAAACGCTAATTGGGTGGGAAGAGATCAACCAAAGAACTTTATTCATAAGCCATGGAGACAGAGGATAGGGTGGTGAAGGCCGGGGTGCGGCTGGGGGCAGGCCGGAAGAGGTCAATGGGGAAAAGGAGGACATGTGTAATACTTTCAACAATAAAGATTTTCTAGGCCCAGTCCGAGCGCGTCTCCGCAACTGTGTCCTCGTGGTGCGACCCTCGAGCCTCGCTCTCGGCGCGGCGGCGGCGGCGGCGGCGGCGGCAGGGGGCCGAAGCGAGCGGGCGGCGGGCTCCATGGAGAGCGGCGGACGCCGGAGCAGAGGCGGCGCTTCCTCCCCGGCAGCCGGGCCCAGTGACCCGCGCTCGCGCCTCGCCCCGCGTCGGAGCGGCCGCCGGCCCCGGGACCGACCGTCTTCGCCGCCCGCCCACCCCGCGCCGCCGCCTCGCCGCCCGGCACCCCTGCGCCCGCCTCGCCTCGGCCCCACTCCCCGGCGGGGTGGCGGCGGCCGGGGCCCCGCCGCGGCGCCCGGAGGAGCAGCGGCCGCCGGAACCCGCCTCTATGATGAAGTTCAAGCCCAACCAGACGCGGACCTACGACCGCGAGGGCTTCAAGAAGCGGGCGGCGTGCCTGTGCTTCCGGAGCGGGCAGGAGGACGAGGTGCGGTTGGCGAGCAGCAGTCGGTACCCAGACCAATGGATTGTACCAGGAGGAGGAATGGAGCCCGAGGAGGAGCCTGGCGGTGCTGCCGTGAGGGAGGTTTATGAAGAGGCTGGAGTCAAAGGAAAATTGGGCAGACTCCCAGGCATATTTGAGCAGAACCAAGACCGAAAGCACAGAACATATGTCTACGTTCTTACTGTCACTGAACTATTAGAAGATTGGGAAGATTCTGTTAATATAGGAAGGAAGAGAGAGTGGTTCAAAGTAGAAGATGCTATCAAAGTTCTCCAATGTCATAAGCCTGTACATGCAGAGTATCTGGAAAAACTGAAGCTGGGTTGTTCTCCATCCAATGGAAATTCCACAGCCCCTTCTCTTCCAGATAATAACACCTTGTTTGTAACTGCTGCACAGACCCCTGGCTTGCCATCTACTTACTATAAGATAGAATGTGCAACCTCATGGGGAGAGGCTTCTCCCTTTTCCTTGGCAAACATCTGAACGACGCTCGCAAACTGTCTGAATTTGCCATACAAGGTTTTCAAACAATTTGCATGTTTTTCAGATGCTTTGCATCTTTTTTTTTAATAGTGTAAAATATTTTAATAAGCCAAAAAAAAAAAAAAAAGACGTGCACCCCCATGCCCACTGCGGCATTAATTACAATGACCAGATACCAAAGCAACCTCAATGCCATCCGTAGAAGAATGCATAGAGAAGAGGTGGTACATATATACAATAGAATATTGCTCCACCTTAAAAAAAAGAGTTAAGTCTTGCTATTTGCAACACCATAAATGAACCTAGAGGGTATTATGCTAAGTGAAATAAGTCAGACAGAGAAAGACAAATACATGTTTTTTTTTAAAAAAAAACAAAACATGATTTCACTTATGTATAGTGCCTGGAAAAAAACAAATGAACAAACAAAACCGAAACAAACTCATAGTTACAAAGAATATACTATGGGTTATCAGATAGGAAGGGATTGTGGGGATCTGTGAAAAAAAGCCAAGGGATTAAATTGTGCAAATTGCCACTTAAATTAAATTTCAAGATAATTCCGCTTTTTTCTGTAGAAGGGCAATAATGAAAAAGAGTTTGAGAAACACGGCTCTAGAATGTCTGCTGCAGAAACCAAACACTTGCCTGCTTTGTTCGCCTCTGGGTCCTCAGCACCCACAGGGTACATGCTCAATTAATGGGCGTTTGCAACAGGGTGGGAACCACATTATAAAAGATTTTTAAACCACACTAAAGAATGTAGGCTCTTTAACCTAAAGGCTGTGGGTGTGGATGAAGTCACCGACATATTTTGAGTGGTAACCCAGTGTGACCAGATTTCCTTGTGAGGAAGATTATTCTGGAAGCTTGAAGAGTATAGAGTGGAAAGGATAAATTGGCAAGAGACCTGAGGGAGACAGAAAATTACTGAAAGAAAGAGGGTGGTCTGGAAATAAGGATGAAAATATAAAGTTTGTACAAAGAACCAAGGCACATTTGTGCACTTACTCAAATTTACTCCAAGAAATGCAAAATGCAAACAACATAACGGATGGGCAAAACTTTTAAAATGTGATATGACCCGCCCTACCCGGTTTGGCTTAGTGGATAGAGTGTCGGCCTGCAGACTCAAGAGTCCCAAGTTCAATTCCAGTCAAAGGCATGTACCTTGATTTCGGGCACATCCCCAGTAGGGAGTGTGCAGGAGGCAGCTGAATCAATATTTCTAACCTCTAACTCCCTCCCTTCCTCTCTGTAAAAAGCAATAAAATACATAAAATAAAATAAATAAAATAAAATAAAATAAAATGTGATATTACCCATAGTAGCAAAGATGTAGAGAAGCAGACACTCACACACATTGTCAGTGCATGAAATTAAGCAAACTTTTTGGATTGAAATTTGACATCTACTAAAATGTAAGCTGCACAGATGTCTTTTCCTTTGAACCAGGTAGAAATTCAGCCTGTGATGGAAACCTGTAAATGTTTACAAATATGTGAGAATATGACATTCATGCAGTAAAGTTCATGATAGCAAAACCCAGGAGCCCAGGTGTCCATTCAGAGGGGCTGGTTAGATAGATTAAATTACACTCCGCCGTAATTGATGAGATGTCATGCAGTCTTTAAGGAAGTAGACCCATTTGTGCTCATGTTAAAAAGCATGCCAAGGGCCGAGACCAGTTTGGCTCAATGGATAGAGTGTCGGCTTGGGGACTTCAGTCCCGGGTTCGATTCCGGTCAAGGGCATGTACCTTGGTTGCGGGCATATCCCCAGTGGGGGGTGTGCAAGAGGCAGCTGATCGATGACTCTCATCAACGTTTCTAACTCTCTATCTCTCTCCCTTCTTCTCTGTACAAAATCAATAAAATATTTTTTTTTAAATTTAAAAAAAAGCATGCCAAGGTAAGAGGAGGAAGCAAGATGTAAAATGGGATATATTATGGGAACCATTTTGTGTACATCTTTAATAGCACGTAGATATGTGGATGTATGCAAACTGTTTTCAGAAAAGAAATATCAAATTGTTCCTGAGGGATGCTTTGAGAGGAAGGCATCAGGGGAGAAAGGGTTCTTTTTTAGCCTTTTCTGTTATATTTAAATTTGTTACCATATGTATGTATTATTTTGATTTAAATATGAATATATACCTAAGCATAAAATCGCTTACTTTATATCATTAGATGTTAATGTGTAGTGTGTATTTATATAATACATGTGAGATGTAACATGTGCATGTATCTTAAATATGTTTTTAGTAATTTTAGAGGAGAGAGAGGAAAGGAGAGGGCTAGAGAGATAGAAGCATCAACAAGAACCTGCAATCTGGGCATGTGCCCTGACCTGGAATTGAACTGGTGACAATGCTCAACCGCTGAGCAGGAGGCAGCCGACCAATGATTCTCTCTCATCATTGATGTTTCTATCTCTCTCCCTTTGCCTTCCTCTCTAAAATCAATATAATATATTTTATTGACCTTTTACAGAGAGGAAAGAGAGGGACAGAGAGCTAGAAACATCGACGAGAGAGAAAGATCGATCAGCCGCCTCCTGCACACCCTCCACTGGGGATGCACCTGCAACCAAGGTACCTGCCCCTGACCGGAATCGAACCTGAGACCCTTCAGTCTACAGGCCGACGCTCCATCCACTGAGCCAAACCAGCCCCGGCAAAATATATTTTTTAGGAAAGACTGGAAAATGGTAACTACACAACCATCATGAATAAAAAATTAGCTAGATGCAACATCGTCCATACAAGCACCAACCCTGGAGAGCAACCGCGCTGCCCAGACAAGATTAGCCATTAAACATGGATGCTTCTGGGTGTTTCCATCTGGCCTCGTCTTTACTTCCTCTCTTTGTATTTTTCTGTATGGAATGCTTTTTGCTGTTGTTGTTGTTAATCCGGACCGGAGGATATTTTTCCCACTGCTTTTTATTTTTTTTTCTTTATTGATTACATATGTGTCCTTATCTCCCCATTGCCCCCTCAATGGACCCCCCAATGGACCCCCCGTTGTCTGAGTCCATTGGTTAGGCTTATATATATAGGCTTATATATGCATTCATACAAGTCCTTTGGTTGATCTTCCATTGCTTTTTAGAGAGAGGAGAAAAGACAAAGAGCGAAACATTGATGTGAGGGAGACATATCAATTGGCCACCTCCCACATTCACCCCAACTAGGACCCAGGATCGAACCTGCAACCCAGGTAAATGCCCCTGACCAGAATAGAACCTGGATTCTGTTTGCAGGCAGACACTCTAACCACTGAGCAAGCCTGCTAGGGCTAGAGTACTTTTTCTTAAACATCAAGCATGTGACATTAAAAAAAAAAAAAAAAAAAAAATATATATATATATATATATATATATATATATAGAGAGAGAGAGAGAGAGAGAGAGAGAGAGAGAGAGGAAGGTAGAGAGAGAGAGAGACATAGAAACATCAATGATGAGAGAGAATCATTGATCGGCTGCTTCCTGCATGCCCTTCTCTGGAAACCAAGCCTGCAACCTGGGCATGTGCCCTTGACCGGAATCGAACCCAGGACCCTTGAGTCCGAAGGCCAACACTCCATCCACTGAGCCAAACAAGCATGTAACACTTTTATTTAAAAAATCAGGTATTTCCCAAGGGTAAGCAAAAGGGAACCTGAGGGAGCACAGGGCAGGGGAGATGCCTAAGTGAGGCTGAATGGGTGGCGCCAACGTTCTTCCCACAGCCAGCCTCTCCAAGGACACAGCCAGGACAAGAGCACCCGCCCTGCACTGCGCCCGAGGCGGGAAGCCAGCCTCTGGAAACGGCAGCAGCCACAGGGGGTCCTTGGTAGCCACAGCCTGGATCCCACTTCTCCGTATTCCCCATAAGAATCGGAAACGCATGTCCACAGAAAAAGCCGTGTGAGATTACGTACACACATGTTCATAGCGGCTTTATTTACAACGGCCAAAACCCAGAGTTAGCTTGCTAGGGCCACCATTACAAAGTGCTATAGTCTGGGTGGCTTAAACAGAAGTGTATTTTCTCACAGTTTGGGGTAGAAGTTTAAAATCAAGGAGTCAGCTTTCCTTAGCCTGTTTTCTCTGTGTCTTCACATGGTCCTTCTAAAGATGCCAGTCTTCCCAAAACTGGTTTAGCTCAGTGGATAGAGCATTCGTTGGCCTGCAGACTGAAAGGTCCCAGGTTCGATTCCGGTCAAGGGTATGTACCTTGGTTGCGGGCACATCCCCAGTAGGGGGTGTGCAGGAGGCAGCTGACGGATGTTTCTCATCTTTGTTTCTAACTATCTCTCTCCCTTCCTCTCTGTAATAAATCAATAAAATGTATTAAAAACAAAAAATAAAGACGCCAGTCTTTTTGGATTAATGACCTCGCTTTAACTCAATCACTTTTTAAAAGATGCTTTCTCTAAATACACTCACATTTTTAAGTACTGGGAGTTAGGGCTTTAACCTACGAATTTTGGGGGAACAGAATCAGTCCATAACACAACTCAAAAGTACATCAACAGATGAAGGAACCAACAAAATAAACTGTGTCCCGGATGGCATGACTCAGTGGTTGGGAGTTGACCTATGAGCCAGGAGGTCACGGTTCAATTCCTGTCAGGGTTGCTGGCTCAATCCCCAGCGTGGAATGTGCAGGAGGCAGCCAATCAATGATCCTCTCTCATCATTTATGTTTCCATCTCTCTCTCCCTCCCCCTTCCTCTCTGAAATCAATAAAAATATATTTAAAAAAATAAACTGTGATCCATCTGTCTGATGGAGTTCTACATAGCAACAAAAAAAGGGGAAACAACTGATACACACAACTGAGCTACACAATAACATGGATGCAGTCAGACACAGAAGGCCAAATACCGTGGATTCCCTTTGCGTGAATTTCTCCAAAGCTACAAAACGAATGGATCGTTAACAGAAATCATTGCTGTGACGATCTCTTAGCGGGAAGGCATGGGCTTGGGAAGGGCACCAGGCATCCTTCC